CCCCAAAACCCCAAAACCCCATATTGATAAAAACAAGAAATTTGAACAACGAGACAGAATGATTGATATTTTAATTTTATATCTTTCTTATATATTTTATCAATTTATTCTATTAAAATTCACAATCATATAAAATATAAATCTCTAATTAAACATTGTCATCCGATAGAATGATAAATCTGCATTTTAAGATTCTAAGCCTCTTATTGGCTTCAATATATGCCTAATAAGAACTTTAAAAATGCAATGGAGATTTGTGATGAACTTTTATTGATAACTAGGAAAGATGTTTCGGTAAGAAATTAAATTTAAAAATCTTATAGTATGCCATAATAGCTGTTAATCAAATATATGCTTTAATTAGACTATTCAAGGATGTCTTGGTTGTCAAGATAACTAGTTATACTAAGATTTGAATACTCTCTAGTGTAGTTTGTAGTGCAAAACAAATTAGTACCCGCTTACTTATAGAGATCCCTAAAATAATGCTTTTCTTCTTAAGTATTGTCGAGGTAATAACTTTAATTTTAATTAGTCAGATAGGGAAATTTATGTCGATGGGTCATTAAACAACACAGCAATTCAGCTTGGAACAATAACTCATCCCTATTCATTCATAGATGATATTTTCAGAGAAATCTTTAACAAATTAACAGAATTCTCATCAAACTTTACAATTTATATCAAAGAGGGTAGTATAATTACAATGTTTTCTAAATCTATGCCCATTTTAATATTGAATAAAAACATCACAATCAAGTAAGTATATATATTTTTACAAAAATAATCTTAACTTCATTTTTTTATCATTTTAATATTTTAGAACCTATAATGTGCTTCATACCTCTAATAATTCATGAAAAGTGATCTTCAATATAGTTGAAGATTAATATTAGTTTACTAGATGCAATTTGTGTTTCAATCCAAGTATGTACTTGAATGGGACTGTTATAGATTATGATATCAGAAGTAGATATCTTGATGGGTAACTCGATTCAGTTGAGGCTACTGCTACAAAATATAAATTTCATGTTTATAGATCTAATCTTGAATTCTAAGATATTGTATTCATTCAGAAATAACAATAGAATAATCTTTTTGATGATTCATTAGTGAATGGCTATACCAATCCGTATAGGTGGGTGACTTTTACAAGGTGCTAATTTGAACTTGTAACTTCTATATTTTTTACCAACTATGGTGCGAATCTGAAAATTTAAACATCCATTATTGACATTTCTCAGCATTATGTATCGACGTTTTCAAATTTTATGGGCTGTGAAGCTTATCAAAATCAAGGGTATTCAGGAAACTTGATTCTTGATCAAAATAAATTTATTGGATAAAATTCTATAACAACTCTTAGTATAATTGAAGCATCAAGCTATCTGAATTTCACAATGATAGGAAACACATTTGAAAATACTGCATGGCGAAGTTAGACTAAATCATTCAATTACGAAGCTTATGAAGTAAAATGTCAAGGATAAATTATAAATTATCATATCGACATCTCAAATAACACATTTGTAAATAAAGAGAGTATAATTGAATCCAACATTTACTTTAAGATATAAAAAACATATGAACCCAATGTTTATTTCAAATTCTACTATAATAACAATCGATATTTTAACGTCTCGTATGGGAAAAATGGTTTCATAGGTGTTGAGCTAAATGATTTAAAAAATTTAGAGGTTTAAATAGAAAATAATACATTTGAAAGAATTGTCAATAATTAGGAAGACTCGAGAATTATTGACATACATTGTTAAAAAATATCAATAGCCAATTTGAAAATTCTTAATAGCTCAATAAGCAATGCAATAAGACTATCATCCTTGGATAAAATGAAGATTTTAAATGTAGAGTTTAGTGATGTAAAGGGAAATAACTCTATTTCTTAAAACAACTATATAATAGAGATTTAAACCTCTGAAAGTGCTGAAGTTAAGAATATTGAAATTAAGGATTCTGATCTATAAAATGTTGGAATAATATCTATTGAATCAGGAGAAGAAGTTAAAATTTAAAATGTTTCTATCAATGATTCATAAATTAATAATAACGCCTTTGATTTCAAATCTATAGATTAGTTATCAGTCCATAATATCTAAGTTTACAATATGAAATTATAAAAATAGTCTAAGCAACAGTAGCTATTTAACTTTAACTAGATTTAATAATCAAAATTCTCTAATAACTAGAGAAATATTCTGATTAGCAATATTACCCTAGTTAATTCTTCAATTGCTTTGTTACAAATAGACAAAGTTAACATTGATAATAATTTGTATAATAGAACTTTAACCCTGCAGAATATGCTGTTGAGAAATAATAATCTTACTTTAACATAGTCTATGATTGTTTTGAAAAGTTTCAAGTCAAATTATCTGAATGTTGAAATTAAAAATAGTACTATATTCGAGAATAGAAATGAGAATGGTTATATGTTTTTGCTTTAGTAAAATGGAAATTTAGTAAGTATATTGAATTGTTTGTTTGAGGAGAACTCTGGATAGTTTGCTTATCTAAACCCTTACGAAGCGTTTGATCTAAATTTTCCTCAGCGAATTCTTTTTAAAGATAGTAACTTCACATAAAACTTCGGAAAAAATGATGGTCTATTTAATGTTATGAGTAATACTTAGTTAAATATAGAACGCAGCATTTTTGTTGGAAATTTTGGAACTGGAAGGGGTTCTATATTACTCTCAAGGAATAATAATTCAAATACTATTATAAAAAACTCAACCTTTATTTAAAATTATGCTCTGGAAGGAGGTGTAATATTTACTGAGTATCACGGCTTTGTATCAATTCTTAATTCACATTTTTACTCTAATTTTGCATTATTTGGGGGAGTGCTAAGCTTGTTAAATGATGCATGAGCAGAATTTTTTAATTGTACATTTCAAGAAAACTATGCTCTTGTTGGGAGTTTATTCTACATTTTTAACTCATAAGATTATTTAATGATTTCTAATAGCTTAATTGAGAAAAATGGATTTGACAGTTTTAATCTTTATCAATTAAAGGATATCTAAAGCAGAGAAATTTTAATTCAAGGAATACAATTTAATGACATTTTTAAGAAAAGTGTTCTGGGAAATAAAAGAATGGATAATTTGTTGATCATCTAGTTAAATCAAAATATGTTATATCAAATAGTTGTAATAAAAGGCTCAATAATAATTAAGAATAATACCTAAGTGAGGAATTAAAGTGCTTTTATTAATATTTTATCCCAATCAACAGGCTTATTTTCAGATTTGATATTCTCTGAAATTTATAATTAGTCAATACCATAGTTTATTATTGCATAGTCTCGAATTGAAATTAAAAACATAGATATTTAAAAAATATAAACTAAAACGTATTTTATTACAGCCTCATCAAATTCCGAGGTATTTATTAATAAAGCAAATATTTATCAATACTAAGGAGTTTTTATAGATATGAAGGATTCATAATTAGAGCTAAATAATTTTACAATAAAAGATTTTTAAAACAGTCTTGAGCTCTCTGTCATAAATACTATAGGGAGCTAAATACTAATGAAGAATATAACAATAAATAATTTAAATGATGTAAAAGATTTTCCAATAATAAATCTAATTAACTCTAATGCCTAGATTGAAGGATTTAATATATATAAGTTAAATACTAACTTAATAAGAGTTTCAGAATCAGATTTAAATCTAAAAAATGGATTAATTGTTGATGTTAAAAATGAATAATTAAGTGGCTTAGTAATAAAATCAATTAATACTAATTTGCTAATCAGTAATCTTACTGCTACTAATATTGCAGGCAGAGAAGGCTCAGTTATAAATTTTTAAGGATAAATATCAAATCCAAAAAAATCAACCTTGACAATTACAAATTCTATTTTTAAGAAGAATTTTTCTGTCTTGAACGGAGCAGTAATAGCTATTTTAAATTCTTTCTTCACAATAAGTGATTCTTAATTTGATGGAAATCAAGCACTTGGAAATGGTGGAGCTATTCATATAGACTGTTAATTGACTAATCAAAATGGTAAGTAATATTTATTATACTTAAGAGCTTTAGATTGTCAAAGCACGATATTTAATAATACTTTAATCAATAATTCTGCAATCGTCCAAGGTGGAGCAATAAATTACATGAAATAAAGGCCATATTCATTAGAAAATAATGATTTTAAGGACAATATTGCTCACTATGGCTATAATATTGCTTCATATCCTCAAAAAATTATGATTAATTCAAAATAGAATATAGACTTTAAATAACTAGCAAGTGGCTAATAATTGTCTTAATTTTTCACAGCTGGACTATATGATTATGATGATCAACTTTATGTATTAGACGATTTGACCTATGCTACACTAAGGACTGATGATCTGTCATTAAGTTTGTCTGGAAAATTAAAAGTGGTAGCATAAAGAGGAATTTTTAGTTTTGAGGATATTTTAATATTTGGAATACCTAAATATGAATCCAGCATATTGATTGAGGCTGAACTATAGAATAATTTGAGCAATCTAACATCGATTGCTCTTAGAGAGAAGATCCAATTTAGAGATTGTGTTGAGGGTGAAATACTTTAGAACAACGAATGCATTTAATGCCCTATAGGAAGTTTTTCTTTCAATATTACTGATAGGAAGTGCTATTAATGTTTAAAAAATGCTATATGTTAAGGAGGTAATTAAATTAAATTATAATAAGGATATTGGAGAAGCAGTCAAAATTCAACTACTGTCTATAAATGCTTTGACTAAGATGCCTGCAAGTAAGTTTAATATACGTTTTATCAATTAGGGGAGGATTAGATGTAAAGGATTAATGCAATGATGGCTACGAGGGAAAAATATGCAATTATTGCAAGAAATCTTCCGATAAGATATATTCAAAATCAAGTAAGCAGACATGCTAGGAATGCTAACCACTTTAATTGCAGATAATCATGATATTCTGTATTATATTGGGGATAGGAGCATATGTTGCATACATGCTTTAGTAATTCCATTATCCTTGTAAAACAGTTTTTTATAGTTCATTACTCAGAAATCCAAAAAGAAATAAGCCTTAGACAGTTTTAATAAGAATTTTCACAGGATATTTTTAGATTTTGATGATTTGCAAGGATTTTGAGTTGAAATGGCCTGAAAGAGTGAGTGAAACTCTATCATATATCTCGATCTTTTCGACATCCTAGTAAAAAATTCTGTCCTTTGACTGCATTTTTCTTTATTCAGGATTTACTAGATGGCAAAGTTTTTACTATAAAATCTTAATTTTTGGTATTATGCCTATTATTTTGAGTTCTTTCGGTGCTGTAATTTGGCTAATTATTTGGATTTGCAAAAGAAAAACCTTCAATTTTTAAGTCTTAAGAAAGATTAAGATAACTAGTTATGTGATTATATTGCTTTTATACCCGACGATTACAAATATGACATTTCAAATTTACCAATGCTTTAATTATGAAGATGGCAAATCCTATCTACTATATAATATGGAGGTTGAGTGTTGGGAAAAAGAACATATTTAAATGTCATCATTTATTGGTGTTCCTTTTATTATTTTGTGGTCATTTCTTTTTCCATCTTATATTGTTTGCAAATTGAGTAAAATTAAAAATGATTTCAATAACGATATAAACCTTTAAGAATTAGGAATATTTTACATTGGGTTAAATGATAAAGCTTTTATATGGGAGATAATTATTGTCAATTTAAAGAAATTTTTATTTATTTTGGTATCAACATTTATATAGCATAATTTCACAGTATATAAGGTACTTTATCTTTAAATTTATTCTTATAGGCTATAATTGGACTGCTTCCTCTCATTATCTAGGCTTATTTAACATCTAAAATTCGGCCATACATAGATCCTAGATTGAACAGACTAGATTTTCATGCAAGTCATGCTTGTGTAAAGTTCATTACTAACAACTTTTTATTTAGACAATGACATTGATAGGTGGAATATTCTTTATGTCTGATGAGGTTCAGTCAAACGATAAGTTACAATTTTTCATCTTTCTTATGATTGTATCTTATAATGGAACGTTTCTAGTGTACTGGATCTTTACCTTAATTACATCAATCATAAGATATCATGCTCACATAATAAATAGATTTCAAAGGAAAAAAAGTATTAGACCTAAAATTGATGATTATGAAACCAACTTGAAAAAGTATATTACTTAGAGTTCAAGACAAATGACTCTACTTTCACCATTTAAATCAGATTAGATGAAATGTTGTAACAAGAACAAAGGACAATTCGACTCTAAAAGAACTCCCCAGACTCCTTTTGAAAATATAAGTTCATTACTAATAAGCTCTAATGACAGAATAAACTCTCCTTTCCCAATAGAATTGAGCAAGAAGATAAATATATGCTAAACTTTTTGTTAAGTAGAATGATATTTCTTCTTAGGGTATGAAGATATCTAAAACATAAAGTAAAAGTCTTTTTTCAAAATAATTGAAATAAAAATAATCGGCTAACGACTCACAAAAAAACGAAAATAAGAATTTTATCCTTAAAAAGAAATAGACTACAGCTCCCCCAACTTAAAACATACAACTTAGTCAAAAGATTTTTGACTGATTATACTTAGAGAAAACAAAAGAAAATAGTATATCTAAAACATTAAAATAGGCATAAATTAGTCTCAATATTTAATTTAAAAAGATTAATTATAATTTGATTAACCATAGAAATGTTTGCAAATAAGTACGCTGTCAAACTCTTAAACAGAAGTGGGCTTTAAAAGATTGCACTGAGATCATTTTTCAAGGTTTAATAGGCATCATAGAGAAATCAACTCTATTATTTGATGATACAGTCATCAAATAGACTATAATACACAACTTAAGCTAAATACTTCTTCTCAACCTCTAATGAATCAGGCCAAAAAATCTAAAATGAGTAAAATAAAACTTAATAATAGGAGGATGGATCTGAGTAGATTTCATATACAAGTAATTTTATTGTGATTTGTATAAATGATAATATTAGTTACTGAGGATGACATTAAAGGCACAAGGTAAATGGCATAAAAGGGTTTGCTACTAATGATGTTTACATGCAGTGTTTGCAATACTAAAGCAGCAAGAACATTTTCCAAGGATTCTTATGAAAGTGGTGTAGTGCTTGTCAGATGTGAAGGATGCGATAACTTACACTTGATTGCGGACAATCTAGGCTGGTTCAGAGATGAAAATGTTAATATTGAGGATATTCTTAGGGAGCAAGGCAAGAAAGTTCATAAGAATTTTACTAAAGAATCGATTGAATTCACAATGAGAGGTCCTAATGATTAGGTAAGCGACGAGCAATTAAACTTAGAACATCATCACCATCATCATGATGGACCTTGCAATCATGATCACCATCATCATAATCACATGCATCACCACCACAATCATGATGGACAATGTGATCATAACCATAATCATGGCCACAATCATGAACACCATAATCATGATGGTCCATGCACTCATCAACATCATGAAGCTCCTAGTAATAGCAATAAAAATGATCATCACCATCATGATGGCCCTTGCACTCACGATCACTCTCATGATCATAGTCATGAAAATACTAATGGAAAACAAAGACAATGATAGAAATAAGTCCATCACTATATTAATTAATTTCATCACAAATATTTATTCTCCTTATTAATTTAATTAAGTATCTCGGGGTTTTGGGGTTTTGGGGTTTTGGGG